GGCGCTGTGTAATATCATTGCGCCTGCTGCACCCATGGTATAGCAAATTTTCCAAAAGTTTCTGAAAGTTACCAAAACCTTGTTTAAATTTGTCCTCGTTTAAAAAAAAATATGGAAAGTTTCTGTAATTTACTGGAAATTTTCCACCCATTTGCAACCCTAGGCAGCAATAAAACCGTGACGACACCAAGAGAAGGATGAGCGTAGCTGTCTGGTGTTATTTCAGTCATTTTAAGCATCTGTCCAGTGTCTCAGGCTCAACATCACCGTCTTTATGGGATCAGAAGAGATTCTCAGTGGGTTTATGGGAACTGAAGCCTGTGTGTGCAGTGATGCAGTGAGACTAACACTGATTCTGACTGACCGTCTCTTCTGATGTTCACAGCAACCCAACTTCAAGCAGAAGTTTGTGGCCTTATTGAAGAGATTCAAAGTCACAGATGAGGTGAGTCCAGGTTTGACACCGGACATGTTTGCTGTGGTCTGGTTTCTGCTGGATTCTGTCGAATGCATCTTGCATCATCACAAACGTGCGCAGTGTGCATGACAGAGGAGACGGATGATTGCGAGGAATTCAAGCCTTTTATTTGCTGCTCTGAGTCTAGATTCTGTAACTTCTGTTCATTTGAACCCCGTCCGGTTCACATATTGATTTACACGTGCATTACATGTATTCAAAGAAAACTTCAGCACATGGAGAAACTGGAGAAAGCCTATATAGCAAGCAGAATTGACGTCTTGATGACATCTAAAAAGAAAGCTGACAAAGAGGATTGTTTTTAGAAGATATTCAGTAAATATTCTCCACTGACCAGTTTGTGAGATGTAAATAAACACATTTGTAAGATATAAAATGCATGTAAAATACACATCTCAGCACTGCACATGTGCACAAGGAATATCTGAATTTGACTGAGAAAATGAGTTTTGCCTTAATCGTTTACATGAAGGCTTTTCAGTCTGATTTCCAGCAGGTGATTTGGGTGCATGTTTTCCTTCTGTCTGATGTGTTCAGGTTCTGGACTCAGACCCGGTGGATCAGACACAGGAGGTGGAGGAGGATCTGGATCTGCTTTATGACAGTCTGGAGGTTTTTAATCAGAGCGACAGCGGCCCGGAGCTGGAGGACAACGAGAGCGTCCTGAGCACCCCGAAACCCAAACTCAAGTATGAGCCTCGGCTGTCTGATCGGCTTCCTTTGTGTTGTTATCTGTTGAAATAAGCAGCCGTCTGGTGAACTGCCGCCAGCTGGACCTGAGCTCTACACTGTAGCTGAATGAGCTTGTGTGTGTGTGTGTGTTTCAGGCCGTTTTTTGAGGGCATGTCTCACTCCAGTTCTCAAACAGAGATCGGCAGCGTTCACAGTCACAATCAACACCGAGACGCAGCGTCCAACATGGTGAGATTCACACACACACACACACAC